TTATATTATTTTACAATTATTGAAATTTATTTTACATTATATTATATTATTTTACATTTTTATTTAAAGGATGTATCAATTTTATAATAATTGTAAATAATCACAAAGAGAACAGCATCTATTGAGATGTAACGTTAGGGTTTCGGAAATATATAATAGCGCGAATAATTACGTTAAAAAACTACGCGAGTAATATAAAGTTAATATTATTTCTTAACTGCGCAATTTTTTTTTTATAGATTCGGAGATCATAAGCGCGATCGCTTTGATCTTTATGGTCGAATGTCAGGTGGTTATCACAGAGATAGAGACAGGGATCGAGATCGTGGTATGCACATGAACGACAAAAGAAGGTGAGGAATAGCTCATCTGTACATACATCTGATCGATCTATTTCATGAATTTTGTTTCAATGAGTATGATTTTTCAGTGATTATTATCGATACTCGTCGGGACCACCAAGTTACGGATATGGGCCAAGTGGCTATGGAGGTAGCAGTGGTGGTGGTGGTGGTTATCCGCCCACGGATATTGCATCAAGTCATTTCAGAAGTCGTGGTTACGCAGGAGATGGTTACTCCAACGATTGGCGACCGAACAAAGATTACAGGCGGGACTACGATAGAAGACCACCGCCACCAAACGCCAACTCCTAGTGCTTCTTTCTTCCTCGGTTGTGACACAATATCGAAATCATTTTGTGTATAATTTTGCTGCGAGTGAGAGCGTTTGTGATGACGCTGGCCCTCTTACGTCTCTACGTGGGAGAAATATTGAATGCACGGTGCACGATGTTCTGTGAGCATGCACCACTTGTACCTATATGTATAAAAAAGAATTATTCCGATGTTTATTATATAACAGACGGATAATATAATAAAATCGAAGATGTGTCTAGGATATGCATGATACTCCCTAGATTAGAAAATTTTACAGATATGTGGAATTACAGATATGTGAAAAGGAAAGAAATACGAGGGAGATCGAATTATATCCTCGGCGCATAACGAGAAGAGAAATTTTTATATATCGGAACGTATATCGGAATTTGTTGAGGAATACAAACGAATAAACAGTGTTTCAGTTTTTTTTTTTTTAAGTACGTACCAATAGAGAATGTACTGGTATAATTTCTGGGAATTTTCATTGCCACACATATTAAAATCATTTTTATTTAAAATAAATACATTTTCCGTACAATCTACAATACGATAAATGGAAACTATCCAAATTATACTGAAATACAATTCTAAAGTACAATGGTATTTTTTACAATTTTTTAAATTAATAAACTAATTCTTTCTTGTATATTCGAATTCGGTTTTATCGTGCAATTGTGAAAAAAATTAACGACATTATAATCATGAATGTATATATTTTCTACTGTATACTATTCAGATGCGGTTCAGTTGACGATTTGGAAGTTCTACTTCTGTTAGTTGTACTAACATTTGCACAAATTAATCGGTGTTTTCGAAGATCTTGACGCTCTAAAGCGTCACGCATTCTAGAATATTCTGTAAAATGCTAAATGAGCACATTCTAAACTGTCCCCGAACATTGATAGCGTTGATTGTACCGTATCTTCTACCATATCTTTCGTTATGTAAAATAAGTAAACTGCTTCCGCGCTATGCGCATATATTTTGCATTTTCGATACTAATTATATATGTATATTTAGTTTAAAAATATAGCTCGCGCACATAATCGCCTCGAATAATGACATCTGGGTATCAATCATGAAACTTTATCCCTAGATGGAAAGTGAAAAGTGAAAATTTTTGCCATTGAAGTTAATGGAGAAATGTTTCACTTTTCACTTTTCATCCGAAGGAAAAAAGTTTCATGATTGATACTCTGGTTTCATTGTTTTCATTTGAGAATCAGATGAGAGTTAATAATTAGACGGCTCTATGCTTAATGCAATCCAATTTGATGGCGTTACAGTAGACACAAACGGACGTGATGTTGCGTTATAATATAATGTTTGTGAAATTGTACAAATCTAACATATAAATTTTCTCTATATAAAGATTAAAGATTTAAAGGAACATCGTGTTTCACAGAGATGGAATTATACGAGATTATCCAATATGATATGCACACTGAAATCGTACACTGTGTCGATCTATTGTATTTGCTAGTAAAATATTGGTCGACAATTAAAGTGTTAATTCAACAGCCACCTAACGTAATCTATTACGCAAATCAAAATATGATAAAAACACAGATTGGATCGCACCTTTTTTTCGATAATCTTTTGACGCGTTTATGATTTGAAAAAAATAGAAATAGAAAAAAGTACTATTTTTGCGTTCATTACCTTATGGTACCATAGTTCTGAACATACAAACCAATGTGACATACTTGTAAATATTAGCGTAAGACCGATAATTATACTCCGTTCGTATCGAACTGTTGAATCACTTAATACAGCATTATGCTTTCCTTATTTAACATAGAGTATGAGGAAGTATTTGCTACCTCAATCTTGTTTCAGTCAAAAGGGAGAAAAAAGAAAAGACAGAAGGAGAGAAAAAGTGAAAGAGAGAACATTGACATAAGGATTTTATATTATCTATAATATCACACACTAGAACATCTCCCGTAAAATATTTTTCAACTGAAGAGATTTAAATTTAGCGATTGACTAAAGATAATCAACATCTAAGATAGTTATGTTTTGCTCTAATTGATAATGAACAGTTGATAATATTTCTTTGTTATAAGGAAGGGCTTCTCATAAAGTTTTGTATTCCTAGTAAACGAAGAAACAAGGTGAAAGTCGAGCTCGACTTATAGAACGTATTATCTTGTATAATCTGAAACTATCGATATTGCATGCTGAACACATTGTCCTATTGACGTACATAAAATAAATTATTTTGTAGATTATTTTACGCGCTGCGTGAAGCCAATTTTACAATTTTCATGTGCATTTGTGTAAATAGTAGCATATATTGAAAAAGCGAAACAACATATTTGTGACGATATGGATTCATGTTAAACTAGAAACGAAATGTAATTCATATTTTCTTGTGTTTCGGGATTGATCACGTGGCAACAGCTCACTGGAGATTTTCATTTGCGAAACGAAACGTAGCAAGAGCTATTTAATTTATAAATATATGATTGCGGCGGTATGGAGTGTACAACAATGAAATAAAGAGATAAGAAGTCTGCGAGTTGTAAATATCGATTCGGAGAATGAAATACAGTGGCATAATGGAATAGAATTTAAAACGTATTTAAATATGTAATTAAATGCGTACATTAAATATGTAAAGCGATCATAACGTATTTTATCTATCTTTATTGTAGATTGTTCTGCGTTTCTGAAAATATATCTGCAGAAAAGTTTTTCATGGTAGTGGTAGCGTTATGTTTGAAACATAATATCAAAAAATATTTTTTTAAATACTTTTAATGATAATATTTCAATCTTTTACATGTGCATACATATTTAAAATCTAATATTTAAAATTTTTTTAAATATATAACAGTGTAATTATATAATACTGGCTATGAAATCAACGACTGTATTAAAATGCGGTTAAGAATGTGCTTCGCTTTGAATAGATATACTGATCCTATCTTTAAAGTGCCGCTTTTTCCAATATCATATAAAAAGATACTGTAAATAACAAATTATTTATTTCTCAATAAATACTTGGTGAGTATACTTGTGCGACATTTCTCATGGGGCTTAGATTTGTATTAAGACATTTATGTCAAGTTAAATATAAGTTATAAAGTATATAATAATTATTTTGCTATAGATTGGAGAAAAATGGCAGATGATCATTTGGATATAGTAATATTTGATGCCACTGGATATACTGGAAAATGTGTAGTGAAGGGTGCGACGCATGTGTAAAGAATAGAAAATGAAGTTGGTATTGCTGGTCATAGTAAGGACACTTTAAACATGATTGTTAAAGAATTTGCCTTAGATATTGAAAAGGATACATTTAAAACTTGAATTATTTCAAGAAATAGCGAATTATTTTGTTACATTATTAACGAACACTTATATGTATCTTTATAGAGAATGTACCTATGATTATGATTGATCTAAAAGACGAGAAATCTCTTAGGATGACAAAGATACTCGTCATCTGTTGTGGTCCATATTGATGGTTGATTTTATGGAGAACCAATTATAAAGCGTGCATTGCTACTTGTACTCATATTGATTTCACTGAAGAGAAAGTAATTGAATATACGTTTAGAACAACAATAATTTTTAATAATTCATGGGGAAAATGTAATTAGAATACAACAGTGCAGCAAATAAAATTGGTATTTACATGGTAAGTGCTTGTGATCTTGTTTGTATTCCTAGCGATTTGGGAGTCATTTTTGTACAACAAAAATTCGAAAGAGAAATTAAATCTTTCGAAGTATACGTATATGTAAAGATATACGAAGTATATGTATATGTAAAGATAACCGATACGGATAAGAAAAATCCATATGTGAATTATGCATCTTGAGAATCGGCGATATACAATCTAGCTTATTAAAATATGGGTTGAAATTGTGTAATTTCTATCGCTATCATTATTCCCTCACATTGGGCGCATTCAGCGAACTCAACAGTTGAGCGAGCGCTTGCTGTTATTGGTGTATTCTTTTAGCTCGTCCAATCAGAATTTTAGATCTAGAAGAATATATCAATAGCAGCGAGTGCTCATTCAACTGTTGAGTCTGCTGAATGCGCGCCCATTATGTTCTGGTGCTTTACACGGCTCGAGGTTTGTTCGCGTCGCAAGCTCCAACATGCTCCAACATAGCTCTTACTTACTCCATTAAGCGCGTTGGAGTGAGTAAGAGCTATGGTAGGAGCATATTGGAACATGTTAGAGCATGCACCGCGAACAAACTTTCGATTTGCGTCGAAGTTATAACGTCGATTATAAGACTGACCAATTACAGTCATTCCATTCTTCAGAGGAATAGCTATGATTGGCCAGTTTCATGACATCGATGTTATAACTTCGATGTAAATCGAACCGTGTAAATGATACGTAAAGAGTAAAGTACACCTCTTTCTAACGCGCAGTTTCCTCCAGCATTGTGTAATGCCATTTTTGTCGTCAGTTGACTGTCGATTGTCGATATCTATAGATAGCCACACCCATGTGTCCATGTGCACAAGCAGTGCAAGCGTGATTCGTCTCGTAGAAAAACATACTTTTTCGAGGAGAAAACTCGATTCGTTCAGTTGTTAATTTGCTTCAATTGATAATTTTGTAAGTATGTTTAGTTTATGTCTTGCATGTTGTTGCACTTGAACTATGATTCGGTTTTTTTTTCACACGTATGCCGTACTGCAGTGTCATGTTCCATTATGTCATTTCGCCGGTATACGATGGAAAAAATGATGTTATTCTCAATTCTTTAGAGTTACATTCTGTTTCACGTATGATATGCATAATATTATTTATTTTTGTTTAAGGAGGTTTTCCAATCATAAAACACATATTATAAAATCTAAATTTTTTAATATAAATATATTAAGTACTAAACAGGACCTATGCAAAGTTTCATTGAGATTCACCAATTAGTTTATAACAAATAAAAATTTTGTTTATTTACTGAACAATTAATTTTGTTTGCATCTCAATGTGTAACTTTACATAAGTATTTTTGAATTCACATAATACTTATATAAAAAAATGGAGATTTTTATCATTATTTTGTAATACATTTTCATATATTTCTATTAGAGTACAAATTTAAAAAATATTACTTTTTTTATTGAAATAACTTTCGATCCAGATGGTAAAAAAAATTTTTTTTAATTTAGGAATGCCTCTATTTTTATAACAAATTTATTCTCAAAATTTGATCAAGTTCCTATATTATGTCAAATGGAGAATCTCCTTAACATTCGGTGAACAACAAAAATAAATAATGCAGTTACATGTGAAATGCACCCTAAGGCCCAGTTCCACAACTCACAGTTAACTCTTAACCGAGGTTCAACTTATTTATTGTCTTTTTCTAATTCTAGAATTTGAAAGAGATGAGAAACAAGTTGAATCTGGTTAAGAGTCAACCATGAGTTGTGGAACTGGGGCTGTGGTCCACTTGACGCTACAAACGCTTCGAAGTGTTTGAGCGACCAATCAGAACAAAGAATTTTACGAATTGAGTAATCAAAGAATGTTTCGAAGCGTTTGTAGCGTCAAGTGGACCGCAGCCTGGGCCTGTAGTCGACAACAGTCGGCCGAGATCATGGTGGATAGGTTACAGCTACCATGGACAAGATAGTTGAAGAGTAGACTGATGATATTAGCTGTGTTCACCAGAAAAAGTAGTTTTGCAACTGCAACTGTTGTAAAATTCTTTAATATGAACAACTCTTCAACAACTTTTGTTTGAAACATTTCTTTCAAAAACGTTATCCTGTCGAGTAAATCCAGGGCCCGACCTTTTTGAACACCCTGTATAATGCCAATGAGAGTCAATACTAGTTATTCGTGTGTAATAAAACTACATATATTAATAATAAAATTACAGTTTCAACTCTTGGTCTTCTTCAGCGTATAAGAAATAATCATTGGAAGATAATCCGTTACATTACAATATAAAAGAAAGTATGGTACATTTTTGTCATATATTATTAGGCACATTCAAGTTGACAAAGCGGCTAGCCTGCTCGCCAAGCAAATGAACATAATTGATTGTTATTTATAGATCCAACTAATCATATTCAATCGCTCGATAAGCATGCCTAGCCGCTTTGCCGTCTTGAACTCGCCCATTGTTAAGCTGTTGTTCAAATATAAAAATCTTCCATATCGTCTGCATTAGACGTTGTGAATGATAGTCGATCTCTCATACGACATTATTTATATTGCATCTATTGTAAACTATTGTTATTCTAATTACAATATAAGTTTTTTTAGTGATTTTATATCCATTCTATCATTGCGACTATATTAATTTTATGTTTGTTGATTCGATGTACCATACTTTCCTTTACTTCGTAATGTGACGGATTTTGACGTCATATTATTTCTTATACACTGAAGAGAATCCAATACTAAAGGTTGAGACGTCTGTAATTTTATCATTTAATATATGCAGTTTTATTGCACAATAAATGGAATAATTGGCTCTCATTGGCGTAATTATATATTGTTTATCTCCTATGAGCTTATTTTAAGAGCCTTTACTTAAGCTTAATATATTCAGTTTCTATTTATTTTTCATTATATTGTTACTTTGTTTTTATTTAATAACATACATATATATATTAATTAAAAACAAAATAATATAATGAAAAATAAATGAATCACTTTTGATAAATATATTAATAAGCATTTTTTACATTTTTTATAAGATTTATATTAACAAAAGATATTTTTGTCAAGTTAAATGTAAAGTTATAAAAATATTAATGATTTTAATGATATCTTGCTATAGATTACACAAAAATGGCAGATGAGCGTTTAGATATAGTAATATTTGGCGCCACTGGATATACTGGAAAATATGTAGTGAAAAATGCAACTCATGTGTACAAGGATCATAAAATGAAGTTTGGTATTGCTGGTCGTAGGAAAGAAGCTTTAGACGCAGTTGTTAAGGAATTTGCCTCAGATATTGGTACATTTAAAACTTAGAACTAATTATTTCAATTATAATAGTAAACCACTTTATTTATTATTAGCAAATGTTATTACATGTATATGATATATTTCATGTATCTTATCAGAGGATGTGCCTATTATTCTGGCTGACATAAAAGATGAGGAATCTCTTAAGAAAATGACAGAGCGAGCAAAGATACTTATCAATTGTTGCGGTCCATACAGATTTTATGGAGAACCAGTTATCAAAACGTGCATTGCTACTCGTACTCATTATGTTGATGTCACTGGTGAAGAACAGGTAATTCAGCAACGTTTATGCAACAGTACAATGATTGATTAATGATTTCTCTTTCTGATATCTTCAATATTTTATAGTTTATGATTGAAATGCAATTAAAATATAACGAAGCAGCAAAAGAAGCTGGGGTCTACATAGTAAGCGCTTGCGGTTTTGACTGTATTCCTAGTGATTTAGGAATCATTTTTACGCAACAGAAATTTGAAGGAGAAGTCAATGCTATTGAAATATACATGAACGTGTGGTCAAGCACTACTGATAAGAAAGGTCCGTTATTCAATTATGCAACTTGGGAATCTGTAGTACACAGTCTGGCTCATGTAAAAGAAATACCGGCATTACGCAAAAAATTATACCCTACCAAATTGCCTGAATTCACACCGAAATTAAAATCAAGGTTTCTATATCTTATATGTCTTGCGTATATACATAAATCACATTTTGTCAAATATAAGTAAATTTTCTATGCGTATTAAATGTTTAGAAAATATGCAAATTAGTGCAATATTAAAGAAAGAAATAGTAATTATATTAACCATAAGCAGCGTTAATAATTTCACTTATTTTGCGGAAGTGTACTGCACCGAAGCGATGTTTCTGAAGGATGGTCCACACCATTTCCGAGTGCCGATCGTTCAGTAGCTCTTCGTACACAGCGATTCTTATATGACAAGTATAAAGAGAGGCCTGCGCAAGTTCAATTTTATGTTACAATGAAGTCAGTATGATACCGATAGAAATGAATATTGACAAATAATTTTTGTTAAAGTCTGTACGCTTATTATTAGGTCTTTTTTCGAATTCCTGATGATGGCCATTGTCGGTATGCTTTTGTTAGTTTTGTCTCGCACAGCATGCGGTCGTAATTTACTTCTAAAAGTATGTGTGCAAGTACTTTCGCGATTGTCAAAATCATTTAGATAATACAAGATAATAAAATGCGATATTTGCAGTATCCAGCTCTATTTTCGTTCGGTTTCGTAAGTCACGAGAGCCCGAATCCAGAAATGCTGAAATCGACACATTTTTCTATTACGTTCAAAGCTAGTGGATGGACTGAAAAATTGGCTGAACCTACCGATAAACACACAGATCCACCTAATAAGAAAGTAATCACCAGAGTCTCTGGTGAGTCTCCCGCATATGAGATGACTAGTATAGCAGTGATCTTATCGGCAACAACAATTCTTAACGAAACTGACAAAATGCCTGACAAGTTAGTAAATTATTAATTATTTATCAATGTAACTCTTATGTCTACTGTAGTCATTTTTTGAAAATTTAAAAATTATTCACTTATAGTTATAAGATAATTAACCCTCAACTACATGTCTCGATTTAAAGTTTCAATTTACATGTCTAGGCCCAGTCACCCACGGCGTTTTTAACTTGCTCTGTAATTATCACAAATCTCAATGGAAAAATATTTTTTTTCTAATGAAATACCAAAATGTATAGAATCGAAATATCAAAACATAAAAAGGTCTTGATAGTGATTGAAAAAATTATGCCAAAAAATATTAAAGAACAATTTGTGAAAAGAGTGCAATAATCAATTTTTTCAAATCATATCTTTGTGATAAAAAAGGTACAAATAAAAATAAGCAGTGTTTTGAAGATGAAAATTTGAACTTTAAGAAAAAAAATACATTATATTGATTCATTCCAAAAAGTATAATTATTTGCACGAGTGAAGTGGAGGCATTTTTATACATGCTCGAAGTAATGATATCTGAGGTATGTCGGATATTTCTTTAAAAATGTAATAAAAATATTTTATATTAAATATGTAATGACGTCGACATTATTTACTCACAATTTTATAACTTCAAGAAAATAGAGTGATCGATTCACCAAGATGCCTCTCTCGCAAAAATGCTTTTTTTGACAATGAATGTATGTTTTAATTATAAGAAGACAGTACATATATTTGAATACAGCACTAATAAACAGGCACTTACTAAAAATGAATTTTCACTTTCGACAAAAATCTGTCGAATTTATATTCGACGGGTCCAAGTCATCCGAGCCAAACTTATTCACAATTAACATCAAGACAACAATGAAACAATTGCATCACGGCGATCGACAGAGAAAGATTTCATGTTTTTTTATCCCCTCACTTCAACTCTGCAATATTAATCGTACAAAAATAGCGGCTGACTAAGATTTTCACCCGAGTTCAAATGACCCACTCATGTAGTTGAGGATTAATTATATGTTGAATTTTGGTTTTTTATTTTTATGTATTTATATTTTTACAGTGGAGGAGTACTTACTCCCGGGGCAGCGTTCAGGAAAACATCTCTGATCGAGCAACTGATGAAACATAATATTAAATTCGAAGTGATATCGCATACCGAGAAATAGAAATAAGAAAATTCTATACTTATAATTCTCTTATTTACAACACATTTTATAATTATGCTTAATTTTGATATTAACATTTGTTGTGATTTCGAGTAAACTTTGTTCTATACACTTATATTTCACAATATTTCAACAGGAAAGTATTTATAAGACATAATATATATGAATATTATAGTTACTAAAGTTTAATAAAATTATTACATTAATTGTTATATGTTAGAAAATGAGAGAGATTTAAAATTTATATAAAACTATACAAAATACAATATAATGTTTGTTAAAATGTATATTATTTAAGAATTTTAATACATGTCATGTAATTTAATATAAGTTAATATTGATACTCTTGTAACAAAACATGATTTTTTATTTTTGCTATTAAAATAAATCGTCTATGTTTTCGTAATATAACAAATAAACACTGTTAATTATATATCTTGTAATTAAAAATTTTCCATTTTTCTCCAATATTTATACTTTTTTAAAAAGTCAAACTGGGATGACATGTGCAATCTTTTCATTTTAGAATATTATAATCTGTTTTACATTTTTTACAATTCCTGTAATTATTCCTCTGAATTTATATATTCGTATACCTGTTGTTCCTGATATTATATTTATAACAAAATTCGGGGAGTACATATAGACTTTGTATATTTTAGTGGGGACGGAAGTTCTCGTAGTTCTAATACCGAGTGTCAGCACCATGCGACAGCATCATGTTCTCCCCATATAGCCTAGAGCTACATTCCGTTTCACACATGATGCGCATGAGGCATCTTTTATCCTTGTTATTCACCGAATGTTAAACAAGGATAAATGATGCATTATGCACATCATGCGTGAAATGGAACGCAGCCCAGGGCCCCTATTCTATTAACTGTTTTACACGCCTACCGACAGTTGTCGGTAAGCGTGTAAAACAGTTACAGAATAGGGGCCCAGGAAAATTAGATTTTTTTGGAGGCAAAATTGCCATAAAAGATTTATTTACGGGAAGTTGTTCGAAATGACGTATTATATAACATACTAAAAGTCCTGACCGCCAACAGACTTGGAAAACTCTGTGCGCTAAGACTTAAGCGCAGCGACACTACAGTTCTTTTACGCGAGCCGGCGAGTTCACGAGTTGTGAGCTTGTGAGGAGGATCGAGATTATTGGCTAAGGATATGGGAATATTGAACAAGAGCTGGGTATTGATTATGAAACTTTTTCATTTTTCACTTTTCACATAACAAATTTCACGTGAAAATGTTTACGTAAAAAATGAAAAAGATTAACAATAAAAATCTTATATTATTAGACCGTACAATGTGAGAAACACAATTAATAATAGAAATTCAACAGCCTATACCGGTCGAAGCTAGATCTTTGATGTTTTAAATAATTCAATGTGAATTATATATACAGGGTGTTTGGAAGGTAATGAAAAATCTTTCGCATAGGGATAGAATGGACTAAACTGAGAAGAAAAGTCCTCTACCATTTTACAATTTTCGCAATAGTTAACAAGATATTAATTACTAAAAATTGGTCTTCAATAATTTTTTACTCAAATACTATTAACTTTACAGAAAAATTGTAACAGACAAAAATTGTTTATTTTCTTCTCATAAGGTTCTGAGAATTTTTTCAGAATTTTTTCAGAATTTTTTCAGAATTTTTTAATATTTTCTCATGTTGGTAAAAATAAGAAAATGTAGTACTAAAAAGTTGATAAAAAATTCTGAAAAAATTCTCAGAACCTTATGAGAAGAAAATAAACAATTTATACTAAGAGATTTTCAATTTAGATATCGACATATTTTATATACTTTTAGGATGTATTTTTTCGTTTATTTTTTTCTATGAATATACGATTTCGTGTAAAAATTTTAATTTTACTAGGAAAGGATTTGGAAACTCTCTTCAATTACTCGTTTCTGCAAGGAATGTAGGAAGCATGTCGCCAAGAATCGAGTTCTTCTACTATGAATTCTCTGATATTGAGTGGCAAAAAGACATAGGCATGCAGGAGCAAAAAGTATCGAGGCCAACTTGGTAATGCGCATTTTCACTATCGAGGGTAAGACCAATCCTTTGATAGCCAATATTATCCGACCTTGTATCTAGCCAGGTAGACTGTAAAGCCCAGTTGTATGTAGGAATCTAGTATATTAATCTTCCTCCTCGCACATGTATCGGATTTTCTGTATTCATTATGCATTGTGCTTACTGCACAGGGATGTAATATAAGATGTTTCACGGAAATTTTAATTTCAGTGACAGATTGTTTTTTCTTTAACGCTCGATACAGGAATAACTATCAAATATTGAAATTTTTGCGGCAACAACAGAATTTGAAGTTTGTTTTAGACATCCTAATTGATATGAAATTATAAATAGAATTATATATCTTTCTGACGCAAATTATAGATTGTCTAAGGTGGGCTTGATACATTATCCTTCGCGAGATATATATAAAGCTGTTTCGAAGGACATAGGAAATAGAAACTAAAGCAGCCATGTCAGTGAGTGATGATTTTAATAGATCACTTACATAATGTATGCTAACAAGAATAGAATGTTAATATTATCTCGGGTTTATAATTTGCCTCGATATCAATATTTCTTTATTCGTGATTCAAGTTGCTATAATTTTCATACAACATGTATAAACAGAAAGTGGAGCTATTTTGATTTTTTTTTTCTTAAGGAAGATAACGGCATGGACATTTAAAACAATCTGGATGTGAGTAACTTAGAAGAAATGGATTAATCTTTTACGCTTTTTGCAAGGGTTGAAAATATGATATCGAGAGGAAATGGACGAAGAATAAACCTGCCTCTTTTTCTGCAAGGAAATGGTAATGTATATATATAAGAACTGGTTGTTTAACGTCGGGATTCACCATGACGTAGGTACTTTCCGACTCGGTCAACTCTTGCAAAACTCATTTACCCTATTCCTGCTTCTTTTATTTCCTTCTTTGGTGCAAATGCACAGGACACTTTAGTGCTGTCACGTGCGTGCATACTTACGTCACTTGGATAAAACGGCGCGGCGATTTCTTGCATCGTATCTGATTAGATTTTGATTTAATAGCATTTATAATTTTAAAAAATCGCGCGATTCTCTTCTTTTCAAGTGTAACGCTGGTAAATGTTACATAAGCGCGATTAATGTATGACAAAAATATAAATTAAACCATGCACATTGTACATTTAATCATTTTGCATTTATTTTATATTTTTGTGTTAATTTTATATTCTATCTAATATCTATTCTATTCTAATATCTACATTATTATATATCTTGTATATTAAATTTTGTACAGCGAAATTATTATGCTAAGCGTGTTACACATTATTTATTTCTTATTTTTATTTTGTATATACCTTCTATGCTATAAATTATTAATGGAATCTTAACTGTAGGAATCTAATCTTAGAATAGAATAAAATTTCATCTTTTTAAAGGTTCATTTCAGAATAAATTGTAATAAATAAATATAGACAAACTATTTTACCTATGTATCATACACACATTTCATGCACACATGTAGAGTTATTTAAAGATTTAATTATCGAGAGAATCAGTATATGTAGTTTCAGTGACGAACGAAAAAAAAAACGACGACTTAATGTTTTAATGGTGGCTGCTCATGACATATCTTTATGGAAAACGAAACCAAGTGGAAATCCCAGATTCAGTTTCCTAAGGATTTTTCTGATTACATCTTAAGTTGATGCAAAGAAAGTCGGGATTTTCCTACCGACGAAACGAGATAGTCTAGTATCACTAGATCATCTAGTATCATCAAGGTTCTTCTATGTCCTAGAATTTACAGACTTACAAAAAGTCCCTTTTCTCTTTTTTCAATTTTTATCAATTAATCGACTAATTCTTTGGCAAACCAATTATAAAATTTTATTAAGCAATGTTATCTAATCAATTAATTAGTTCACAGTTATCAAATTTTATTAAATCTTTATATTAATCTTTTTTGAAGATTTTTATCTTATAATTTTACAATAATATTTTATAATAATATCTACGCGATTTTTTTGACAGGATGGATGAAAGGGACATGGATGGATCAATACAAAGTACAAAAGAAAAGGAGGAAATCCAAGAGAATAAAAGGCACGATTCTATTAATTCCCCCGATGCACTCAATCTCAAAGATCAGGCGATTCTGAGTCCTGCAAACTGCAAAATCATTCCCGCATTGTCGATCATCAATGTGAATGATGCACGGAGGAAAAGAAATTAAATACTAAGAGACTCTAACGTAACGTTAAACCGAAAATCTCTGAATGCGATTTTTAATATAATTTTAATAACTTGATATTTCTCATATAATATTCTAATGATTCGATGCAAAGGGTCTAAATATCCCGGCGCGCGTTTCCAAATCGGAGGCAAAAATCGTCCTCTCTCTATCTCTCCCATAATCTCCGACGCGAGGGGGACTCTTGGCTCTTTGTGATACAGTAGGAGTAGCCGACTGAGAGAGAGAGAGAGAGAGAGAGAGAGAGAGAGAGAGAGAGAGAGAGAGAGAGAGAGAAATAGGGGCCGCGCGCATATATACGAAAGAACTCGTGGGTGACATTCGCTCACCACCGTCCCTCGGTCTACGTTCGGTTGAGCTCGCAATGCTCGCATCAGTCGCGCTCCGCCCGTCCTGAGAATCGTCTGCGTCGCGGCTCCCCCACGCATCCGTCGCTTGTTGCATGCGGTACCGGCTTCTCTCCTCTTAGCCGTGATTCCTCTGTTCTGCACGTGTTGCCCTCGCGTGTGTCACGCGCGGCCCTTGCCGGCGCGTAGCTTTCGAGATCATCGTCAGGACGAACACAGCTTCTTTTACAACGAGACAGCAAGCCGCGTTAGAAGTAAGTTCAATCAGTCGATCAAGAGCGGATCGGATGCAGACAAATTTCGAGAAACTCTGTCTTTTTATCCCATGTAAACATTTAAATCTGAATTTTATTGTGTAAAATTTGATTCGAAATTTGATTATTTCGAAAAGTTCCCTAATTCGCGAGCGACACTGATTGTTTTTTGTGCGCGTGACGCGGAGTTATAAGTTCTTGATACGGCAAATGTTAAATGTCAAGCTGCAAATGTTAAATGTCAACTGCAAGTGATGTTTAGTGAAGAGAGACTCTTTAAAGTGATATCTAATGTTTGTTACATTTTATTGACTAAAGAGGGAATTCAGTTGAAATACATAATAATGATTACAAGATTTCTTTTAATTTTAGAAGACTTTCGATTATTTTAATATTGCATTAATGGAACTACTATCATTGTCACTTAAATATAAAAATGGTCCTCATATAATTAATACTTGAATTTTCAAGAAATAGAAAATAAATGCGCGTAAGATAATGATACAAGAGATAACATCGCGGTTTACATGTTACAATAAATGAAACTCGGTTATATACATATTACAATAAATGAAACTCGGTTATCTACATGTTACAATAAATGATTGTAAAAATCGCTGGCCGATTAATAAAGAATAGGAATATTTGTGCCGCTAGAGAATGTAGACATAGGGCGAGCGTGAGTCTATATTTGTATATATACGGTGAGGCGATACATGTTGAATATTGAATTTCTTTAATTATGATAGTGGAAGGAGGGAAGAGGTCATTGAAAAGGTCGATCGGGACTAGGTAAGGAAAGGGGGAACTGGGAATGAACACTGGAATGTGAGTTCCAGGAGGTTGTCCGGCTATGGCAGCTCGGATTTCCTCGGGATCGAAATAGTCAGGGCCGATGGTGTAGGTGCCCTGCGGGAGAGAATCGGTGGTGCGAAACGGTTCACTAAGGGATGATTTACGTTAGGTTCTGGAGTGTGTAATTTGTGAGGAGCGACTTACTGTTTGGTTGTCCGGGCAGACGGGTTGTCGAATTTTATCTTCTGGATACATTGTTGGTCAGTGCCTCGGTTCCCCTGGTCTCGTGGATGGTGATGACCGAATTTTGAGCACTGATTCTAATAGCTTTCACGAACTAAGTGAAATATATTTTTTATGATTCAACATCTTACCTCGAGTATCGCGTTCGTGATATGACTCTTATCAAGGATATTTGATTCTGGATCCGACTTAGCACCTTGGTGCTAACGGCGCGATTTGAAAATGATTACTCGGTGGTTTCTTTTTCCACGATATTCGAGAGGAGATTAAAGACTTGGTTATCGCGGGTTACTAAATTCTAAATAAACATATTTTTCTGCTGGAAAAGTTTCTTCGGATTTATGTTATCGATTGAATTTGTTTGTATCTTACTTTATTGATCGAACGATCGTAAAACGAAGAAATCGTGGAGTCCACTGGACGTAACAACACTAAGACGTAAAAAGTAATTTTACAAAAGAAAAAGGGATGTATGAATGTATGAATATATTTCATATATAATTACACATGTTTATGAATATTTATATATATTCATGCATGAAAAATTTTTTACCGGGATTGTTTTATATGTTGTTTAATATTGAAATACCTATCTTTGATATTGTTCGATAACACGGAAGATTTATACAAAAATGTATAATCTATCACATCTAACGATCTAATACTCCGAGATTCTGATATATAATTAATTTTATGAATTCGTTTTTGACAATACATTTCAAATGTTTCTAGACACAGTACAACTATCCTGAACCGTTCGACACATCCCGGAAACTTTCAAACCTCCCGAATCGGAACAAGTGTCAAGAATTGAACGATCGACGTCGGAAGATTGTCAATCATGAACGGAGTATCTAGCAAATGCGCGAAGTTAAAGATGTACGATGGCGAAGATGACAACTCGATAATGATCAAGAAACCTTTACCATTGAGGGCGATTTCGTGGAGTGATAACATCGAAGAAACCGATTTAGACGTTCCCGGAACACCCAGAACACCACGTACGTCCACGACAAAAGGTACTGTAGTTCGAAACATCTTAATTAAAATCACGTAAAAATCATGGCAATTTTAAAACCGTCGCTTGTAATCGCAAAGAATTATATTTTGTTTCGTTAATTCTTTTTGAAACATTAATTGCTGAATTATGTAATTACTGAATTTTGTTGAGTACAGCGCATCTTTCCTAAAAATTAGGAAGGTATTTGTGAATGATAGAAGAGTTATTATAATTATTATGTGATAGCATATCGCAATTATGAATCATACCAAATTATTTCTTGTTTTTCGAGGTGATTGGTATGCATACACACAGTCTACGTAATTCTTGCTCATATCTCGTCATAACGCGTCAGATTTAAATGGACGAAAAAAATAGATTACTTTCATTGATATTCACACACTTAACAAATAATTCTACGATACAAACTATTGACTTTTAACATTCTACTTGAATTTTTAAGAAGTAAATTGGCACAAAAATAATATATATAATTTTTTTCTGAGATATTTTGAACCATACTGATATTCAGAATTGATAACCTTATAAAATATTCTCATTAGAGAAACGAAGTTATTTCGAAATCCAAAGAGAAACAAATAGTCTCAGATTTAGCACAAAATTAAAAATCCTTTTTTATTTTTTTAAAAATTGAAATATTTTTTTAAACGTTTTCATATTGGTCATTGTACCTTATATTTTTATTTCATGAATATAAGAAACCATCCATTTAAAAATTAATAAATTATATCTATAACATTATTTATGGAAAATTATTATATTTAATGTACGAAACAGAATCTATATTAAAATCGGAGAAATGTTTCGTATCTATAGAAGAAAATCTGTAATATCTTTCAATATCAGCACGTGCCAAATTTTGGTGAACGGTATGGGCACGCCGCGCTGTTGGGGTACAGTTATAGTGATGTGCAACGTGTAACTGTAATTTACGAAAATGATACGTGGTAGGGTGATATCAGAAAAAAATTCCAGAGAAAAAATATAATCGATAAATCGGTCAAATTCTATGATAATAAAAAGAGTGATTGTGATCTCGCACGAATAATTTCTTGAACATAAGAATAATTCGATATTGTGTTACACTTTTTTTCTCTGAAAGTCTGAACGGTTTTAAACGGAAAGACAATTTTAGATAATTATGTGGTAATTAGTCATTCAGTTTACGAGAAATTATCGTACTGTAGAGATATTTTTAGCTGTGAAAGGAAGAATACGTCTTCAGTTTCACGATAATTAAGAAATTATCTCTCGCTTATAAACCGAACTTTTGAAATAATGAATATTATTTCAAAATTATAAATATTTTATTACGTTAATACATAAAGAAAGCAATTATTATTGTCGCAACAGAATTGTCGCTACTACTGCGTATTAAATATGAAAATGAATACATTTTTCTGCCGCTGTCATTAGTTTCTGAAATGTTGAATCATTTTTCACTGGAAATTGGCAGGGTTTAATAATGGAATTGATATTCTTTGCATGTCATATTGAACGAATTTTCCACGCCTCTAATGACCGCTTTGTCGTCGGCATTGGATTCAATTATGTGACACGGTTCATTAGGAAGAGACGGGCTAACTGAGTTTCCAACGTGAACACGTGCTTCTCTCAGCACCGTCGTCATCGTCGTCGTTGTCTTAGAGAAGTCGATCGCTCACGAGTCCATGAATAATATTGCACGCGAAACCTTGAATCTGTTTTGCCGAGCACTTTCTACTTACGCACCATTCACGCACACGAAATAGAAACGCGTACTATTTTAATCACGCACGCCACTTTGTTCTCTCATGACAGAACAATTTTCTTAAACGGTTTGTGGAAGAAGAACGATCGGATACGGATGCGAAATTCTTGTTGCTCGCCTCGTAATTCAGTCGTTAATTAATTTGTCACAGATAAGTACGCGGCGTGTCACGAGGATAACGTTGTAACGCGAGTCTATCAATTAACTTCGTAGGCATTTTATTGTAAAAATCGATCGCATCGAACCGCGGTGACTAATAAAATGTCAACATTTAAGCAAAAGCAGAGCCAATCGAGCTGCATTTATTAAATCTCTACGAGATTTCCTCCGACAGTGAAGATCTCAGATTCAAGAAAAATTTCGTAGTAATCATGGAAAACAGAAAACTCACTGAAGAGACAGAGAATCAAAAATACATTTTTTTCGAACTTGATTTATCATCCATACGTGTCAGATAAATCAGATTATTCAACCTCTTTGCGAACTTAGTTGAAAAGCAGATTTTCTTTGCGAAACATTCACTGGAAATTTCTTCAGCGGAAATGTCAGAATCTTTAAACAAAATGTGATGATAGATCGACGAAAGCAAGAAGAATTTGCCATTTCATAACTATTTACATGAATGAAATATGTATGTACCTCATGATAAATGATTATGAAATAATAGATTGGTTTTATTGTTAGTCTGCTGTCAGATTATGTTTAGAGGTTCTCTGCCGACAGAACAAAAGTTTAACACGGATACGGTGTATGCTCGAGCAGCTGAAATATCTGATCGAATCTATTGGCATGTTATTAACCCTTATTGTACAAGGTCGATCACTAGTGACCGAGTGATTCCTGTTCGTGCAAGTTCCTTTGAGTCTCTCGATAATTATAAATTATACTACATTTTATTATTTTCCAAAATGAAGTTTCAATTTATTCTAGAAAGTTAAAAATATGTTGGTGAATTTTTAAAGATTTTTTTGAACCATTCTGAATTATAGGAGAAAAAAACGAACGGATTCTAGTGACCCACGCCATGATTAGACGAAGGCATCAAATTGTATCTTGTGTTGTAAGAGTTAATATTTTGTTTACTGAGAAGAAATCTTATCGTACATAATGTGCGTAACATTCATACGATTTATTATTAACGACACATCACATCTTTATTATCACGTGTCACGACCTGTCGTTTCAACGTTATCATCTATCGAAAATGCTTGACGATCATTGGCGGAAAAATACGATCAGCGTCTTCACGATTGTTCCGGCTTTCATTCCGGACTCTAATCGGTGCTGATGCGTTTTGTTTGCATTCTAGGCCACGAAAAATGTATGTTTCATCACGATTTGGAGTTGGACCATCGACCACCCACACGGGAATCGATGATACCGGAAATGTCTCGAAGTTACAAGCTGCTCCTGAGTTCGTTGGGCGAAAATCCGGAACGACAGGGACTTCTGAAAACGCCGGAACGCGCCGCGAAGGCCATGCTTTTTTTCACGAAAGGATACGATCAGAGTCTCGATGGTAAGTTATTATTGTTATTAATACACAGGGTGTTTCAGAATTCGTGGATACGGATTGCACAGCGTGATTGTATGTGCCAAAAGAAGCAACTTTTTTCCTCTGGCAAAATTGTGTTCAAACAGTACTTTTTAAATGAGAGCAATTTTAAGTTAACGAATGAGCGCTCCATGCTCATATTAAAAAAATATATTAAAAAAATGAAAAAAGCTATAAAAATGAAAACTCCTTAAAATTAATCGTAGTTAATTGTTCTTGCACAATACGTTCAGCTAAAAAAAAATAATAGTCGAAATTGTTAGAACGTTTACTACAGAATTATTTAAACTGCTCTCCTTTCGAATTGGTACTGGAAATATTGCAAAACCAATATGCTTGTGGTATAAGCGCGAAAAAAAAAGAGAAAATAGTGCAGCCTTGATTTGAAGGTCGACTAATACAAGGTTACACTCGATCCGTGTAGTATGAATTTTACAAGCGGCAATTACATGTGATTGCGATCCATCGTTTATTGCTTAACGGTAACGGTTGCCGATCGTCTGGTGGTCGCCGTTTCTGCAAAAGCTGACTTCCTATCATTGTGATGAGGAATGTTACTACATTTCGAGTCGTTTTACGATTGGCGAGATTATCGAGAAAGAGCCTTTAGTAAATTAACGAGAATATTTGAATGCAAAGATACGAGACAAGAGTTTAATAACAAGACTAGAACTACATTTAACGTAAATATGTTATACTTTTCTAGACACACGTTATTTAAAGAATACTAACAAGTAACACTACCCAAGTGCCACTCCGGGATTGACTTCTACCTATGCAGATTTTGTAAAGAATCGAAAAATATTTGATACGTATTTTTTTATTTCGGCAGACATGATGTTTTAAGGGCTGAAAATAGGGGTTGAAATATTAAATTTTTTAATAAACGGGTGTATTTCCGAATAATGCTGTTATGCGATCTAGCTGTAATTTGATATATTTATGTATTTTGATGTGCTTATTACGAATATGATAAAAAAATTGTCGCCAAGGTTATTTCTCGAAATAAAACAATATATGACTAAAAAGATACGAAAAAACGCGATTTTTTAGGGTTTTTTTGAGTTTTGACCTTGAAAATGACCTTGGCGACAATTTTTTTTATCATATTCGTAATAAGCACATCAAAATACATAAATATATCAAATTACAGCTAGATCGCATAACAGCATTATTCGGAAATACACCCGTTTATTAAAAAATTTAATATTTCAACCCCTATTTTCAGCCCTTAAAACATCATGTCTGCCGAAATAAAAAAATACGTATCAAATATTTTTCGATTCTTTACAAAATCTGCATAGGTAGAAGTCAATCCCGGAGTGGCACTTGGGTAGTGTTACTTGTAAGACTGTATAGTGTATAGTATGCATTTTTAGATGTACGTTGGAATGTAATATATGTGCCGTCATTGTGTTACAACATCAGGGAAAATTTATTCTAAGTTGGAATTTTTTGCGACATATCCACGTTATCATCAATTATATTAATAGTACGCTCATAATAAATAGCATTAAACTATTAGATGGTAACAGTTACTTTTTCAAGTAATTTTGAGCAATCACGAAGAAAGAGAGAAGAGGAGGGGGGAGAGAGAGAGAGAGGCAATTCTTCATTAATTGAAAATGGAAAAAATCCAGGACCTATTTCGCAACCCTATTATCTTCTGCGGTAGATATACAACATGAAATAATTACATCAAAGTCAAGAGTACAATTTGCGAGGGTAATAAAGTAATTAACTGGAAAATCATTGCGTGATTTAACCAGATTTCTTTTATTGCGAATAATATAACGCAAAATTATAGAGGTGCGCCTGTATTTTGTAAAAGTACCACACTTTACCTTTTTTTTCTTTCAACTTGCTCTCTATCACAAGCAGAGTGAGGAAGCGGAGGAGAGAAAAAGAATGGGACGTTGAGGAGGTAAGAGGGTGGAACTTAAGTGCAACTCGTAGAAAAGAGAGCGTAAAGCTCTTGGTATAAATGGGGTTCTCAGGGACGCACGAGGCACAACTTGAAAAGAAAATCCCCTTTTTGTCCTTCTTCTTCTTCCTCCGCGTCACGTACATACATCCAATATAAATGTCACGGTGTTTGAACAATTACGTGGTTTTGCGGAGATTCGGAGAAAAGTTTGCGCATATCATCAAGTTGACACGGAGAACAAATTCTTTTTCTTATATGACGATTTCGTTCTCGCAATTTGTTTGTACCTAAAGAAATTCAGCACGATATGCTAAATAGCATTTTATCGTGTAACGGCTTTCGAAAAATATTTAGATGTGCGTTTACTTTTAATTAACAGTTTATAAAAAAATCCTTGGATAGAAGAGATAGAGATTTAATTCGTATAAAATCTTTAATGAATTGAAACGAGAAAATTTTCTTTTGTTTCAATTTTCTCATTAAATTTATCGAGGTTTATGTATCTCGATGATCCAAAACTTATTTCACTTTCTTCTTTTCATTTTGAGTTGGCGTTCTGTTTTCCTGAATCTTGCGATAATTAAGTACCGCGATAATTAAATATCTAACGATCTTGCTTGACAACTGGGAGCATTTATAAGTGATGGATGGGAGACTTTAATTTAATTTGGTTTAGTTTGAACAGCGGAGAGACCTTCAAGATAAGCTTTTACGGTTAACGGCGATACGGATGCAGCCCGGTGAATCTGAAACAAGGCACTTTCGTATAAAAGCTCGACCACCCTTACTGATTCATTCCCTTGCGCGAACAATTCTACTTGTGGCTTTTATCTCGCTCACTGCTTGTTCGCCCAAATACTTTTAACAAGTCATTTATATTTATATACCATGGTATGTATACGTATATATATATATATATGTTATATAAAAGAGATATATATTTTTTAGTCGATAAATTCCATAAGGTTTCTAACGTGGCAGAATTTTTTAAATGCTATACGCGTGTCCATAAAAGTTAATCGAATTGGTCAAGTCGATCACGTTTAAGCCGGGTCATAAAATCGAATTCTACATTCGGGATACAAGAGGAAAGGAAATTGCTTCACTTTCACGTGTAACGAGAGTCGCTGATCCATCCCTTGACTGTATATTTTCCGAGAAATAAATATTGTATGAGATTCATTCATACACTTCGCTAAAAATATATGATAAACGTATTCTATCGCGTTTTTGTGCTGATAGCTATTTCATGATTATACATCGAATTCAACAAGTTAGAAATTTTGTCATTTAGAGTCATTTTCTGTTGTTATTTGAAAAATTCAAGTACGTTCAATCGGTTAGGCGAATCCATTTCATTCATCATTGTCGGTCATCGCGAGGGTGTTTCTTGTTAAGGTTGCCGTGGAAACGGTCGGAGAGCACCAGTAGCACCACCATTATATAGCTACAGACATATACCGACCGTCCATGCGTATGTATACACTACCACTAGGATCCATGGTGCAGTAAGTAGGTCAATATCGAATAAATCACAGCCAGGATAATCCGCCCACTAGAACGAAAGAACATTTTTCGTGAAATAATGCTATCAGCTGTTCTCATATGTCACTAAGTTAGAAGGGATTGCACGTTTCCAAAGATATATTTGATCACGTCATGTGTGTGAAACATAATTTCAATTAATTCATAAAACTCGTTGGAAACTCTGCATTTGTTGACAAAAACGGTACGGCTAAGTTTGATGAAAAAAATTTTACATTATTGTTACAGACATAATTAACGACGCGATATTTGATGAGGATCACGACGAGATGGTAGTAGTAAAAGACATCGAGATGTTTTCCATGTGCGAACATCATTTGGTACCATTCTACGGCAAGGTGTCGATCGGTTACCTTCCTTGCAAGAAGGTATTAGGCCTCAGCAAACTCGCCAGGTAATTAAATTAAATGTTAATTAAAGACCTTGTCAGGTTTATCGAGTTTTTCGAGTCACGAGTAATTAACTTGACATATAGATTATTCACGATTTAAGATCGGAGTTAATCTCTTCCACTTGGACACACAATTTAATTGCGATTCTGTCACCAGATATGCCGTTCCTTCATGCATAGAAACTATTATATTAATAATGATTCAACTGATAAACATTGAAGATGTCAATCTCTTAAGTTAAAGTTTCAGCATAAAATTTAAACTTAGATGAAAAGCCTTTATTTAATTATCAAAATGTGTCGTCCTTATCTTCTATATTTTAATATAGATAATATTCTTCAATTTTAATTCAGATTACATGTTTGTATAATACAAAATTTTTTTCTTCTTTTAAACTATTTTAAAGTATAACATTGTGCGGTAGATTGCGAGCGTGTAAATCAGAAAGGAAAAAACTTCGCTTCTTTATCGCTAAATACGCGATATTTACGGTCGATGCCTTTTTGTCGAGTTGCACGTCAACTAGTCCTGGCCTTGATCAGTGACATATTAAGGCGAAAAGAAAGAATATGACGAGACTGGTCTCCTAAGACCATACTTTCACGCGCATAACGGCCCGGGATCTCCGTTTACTCGGTAAACGCCTGCTTAAAAGCGAAGTAAACGGTCAATAATGGAAACAGGATCGATGGCATTCCGATGCGCTGTTCGAACGACAGTTTACTTCAAAACCGTTAATTTTTTTTCCTTAGCTTTTATAAGCATCCTTTTCGATAATGGATTTGGAAAGAAATAATATTTGCATGCATTTAGCTTCGATTTTAAATAGCGAATTTCTCGCTGGTTTCTAAGAATGATTTTGAGAAGAGAATTTCCTGTCCGCAGAATCGTGGAGATCTTCAGCAGACGACTCCAGCTGCAGGAACGACTCACGAAGCAAATTGCGATAGCGGTCACAAAGGCTGTGCAACCTGCAGGAGTAGCCGTCGTGATTGAGGGAGTGTATGTATAAAATTCTATATCACAAATATTAATCGCTTCAATCATGAATGACGAAGCGATCGTTTCGTTTGACAGAAATGAAACCACTTAAAAACAAAACGACCGTAATGAATAATTTACAAAAAATTTAACGGATCGAACGGGAAAATAATTAAAATTATTATAAAATAATAAAACTACATAATATATAACTTCCAAAATTATACAATGTACATCGTAACATCAATCACTTACTGATTAGATTGACTCTTGAGACTGTGTACAGGATGATTCTTAATTATATGTTGATAATTCGGACGGTATTGCGATGTCGAGTCAGTTCGCCAGTTAAGACTGCTTTCCTTTCAATCAGCAACTCGCGGAATAGTTTTCGCAGGTGGAACGATCGCGAAGGAACACGACCTTGTATCGCTGCGCGAACGTTGTGTATAATTAAAATATTCACGTAACAATCCGGTTGTTCGTTATATGACGTATGCATTAGCACAACCAATAAATCTCGAGCGGGGGTGCACGAGTGTCACCTCAACGATCAGCCGGGGTTATTAATCGTCTCGTATGATTAATATGGAAAACACGAGCACACCCAACACAATCGTGAATAATTCAGAAAGATCACGCCATGTGCTTCCTCAATTTACAGTTGCGTTTTCCGAGGTATTTATAGTGATAATTGAAGTATCTTTTGAGAGACTCCGCGCAAATAGTTCGTAACGCTATTGCCAAGATTTATCTTCATTCCTGATGTATCAGAACTAGGTATTTTTGTCATTTTGTCGCGCGAGTAATTTTATCATCAGTATTATTTTCGCGTGCACCGAAACTATTTTTACCAGCCTTCGAGCACGAATAATTTATAGTAGTGTCTTGTCGCCATCGAGTCGCCCGATTTATCCCGCGAGTGATAAACCGATAATTAATAACTCCTAATGCGGTGCTATTCTCGCAAGGACCGACGCTATTCTCGTCGGTCTGCGCAAATAATTTATAAACGCGATCGATACGACTTTTCCGCTCGACTTGTATCGCGAGATTAAGCCAATTTATTCTATGATAAATTGATAAAGACAAATCAGAGCTATTACGAATTATTATGAGCGATACGCGGTCGTCGTGTTGCAACATCCGGGCTTACGCGTGTTTCCCCAAGCTGGAGAACCCGACTCGTCATACGATACGCATTAGTTAATCAAATTCTCCCGCTAGATAAGATTTATCTCTCGGCGCGAGAAGACAAAAAATCGAATCTGAAGATATCTGTAACATGAGCTCTAACGGTATGACTCTTTTTTTATTTTTTTGTGATTTTCTTATCGCGATTTTATTAATTACATACACGACACGCACACACCCTGTATGGGAAAAGGAAAAAAATCTTTTGCATACGTTACAGGCATATGTGCATGGTGATGAGGGGTGTGCAGAAGATCAACAGCAAAACAGTGACCTCAACGATGCTGGGCGTGTTTCGGGACGATCCGAAGACCCGCGAGGAGTTTCTGAACCTGGTGCATAACAAGTAAACGGTCGAGTCGCGGTGTCATTATCGTCGGCCACCGTGGGACCACTAGATTTCAACACCCCGACTACTCTCCGACATCCGATCGCTATCTCGTTGCGAAGCCCTCGCCCACAGGACTTCGGGATCGTTGTCGTAAAAGTCGTCCCACCCATACATTCCATTTCTTAAAAAACAAAATCATACACACATACGTCGACTTCAACGACGGTTCCACGTGCCTCTCTCATCATAAATACGATAGAGAAAGTTTAAGGGCGATCGCTTTTAGGGACCAAGATAGCGCGATAGCGGATAATGGAGACGATGCTCGACACGTGTCCCACGCTGATAAGGACGCGCCCAAACTGCGGATCGAGTGACATTGACAATAGCGACGACTATGACACGTCGTGGTCATCCACGAAGACGCTCGCACATTTCGAAATGACTATGACGCGGATGGCTCACGAGCGATTTATCGCGTCGCGATGAAGACGGCGAGCGACGTGCATTCCGGCGCAAAGGGACAGCGAAAAAAAAATAGCGGTTTAATTCGAAGACGAATTTTTATTCAATGCGATAAAACGTTTGGGAACAGGAAATTGCTGCTGGATCAGCGACACTCCTGTCGTAAAGTCCACGTTCGCTGCACCTTTGACCGAGCGAGTTTGTCGCTTATGAAGGAGCTTTTTAGGAAATTTTTCAACGAAAGCTCCCGTTGATCGCAAACTTACACGATAGTCAACGCGCTTCTCATGACAATAAATTATACATCCCATAGATTAGTGAATTCTTTTGAAGAGATTGCGCTCGAACTTTCGACTGTTTGCGTCAACTGTGTGGGCTTTCGAAACTTAAGGCCTACATATAAAAATTTAAGACGTAAGATTTAAGCAGTAAGGAAATCAATATGTTGGATTCGCTACTGCTTACGTTAGGCTAGGTCCACAACCTTGCTTTAAAAGGCCGTAAAGCCATAAGCTTTAAGTTGTAAGTGACGATATATCGGCCACAGAACTTATGCTTTAGGCCGTAAGAATTGGGTTTTGCTCAATTCGTTTAAGTCTAACGGTTAAAGCCTAAAGACTGCGCAAAAACGGTTTAAAGACAAAAATTATTGTTACTTAATCTCTTTCAACTTATGACTTAAGACTAGGTCCATAACCTTGCTTTAAGAAGCCTTAAGTCATAAGTCGAAAGAGATTAAGTGATAATAATTTGTTTTTAAACTGTTTTTGCGCAGTCTTTAGGCTTTAACCGTTAGACTTAAACGAATTGAGCAAAACCTAATTTTTATGGCCTAAAAGTCATAAGTTCTGTGGCCGATATATCGTCACTTACAACTTAAAGCTTACGGCTTACGACCTCTTAAATTGGTCGATTCGCTTACTGCTTAAGTCTTACGTCTTAAGTTTTTTTATGTGCCATGGCCTTTAGTTTTATATCATGCGTTTCGCGATATTCGGTATTTCCCGCAGCTGCGGAACTCGACAGCCACGGGTTTCGCATTGCGACCGATCTGCATCGCGTGAGCGCCTATTTTTGTTTGCCACATTTAACATTTGTTAATAAGTGCATTTCGTGATTAAAAAACAGATATTTTTATATTTGAAATATTGCCAAAAATTAGAATATTCTTTCCCCGCAGCTTTTGATTTCTAAAATTAAATTAACTTGATTTGTGCCTCAAGTCAAAATATACACATCAAAATGAAATCCATTTTAAGTTAATCAAAAATTAACGTTTTTCTTTGTAATTCTAAAACATGATTGATCAAAGAATTTCCTCTTAATTAATTAAAATTTTAAAAACATGTTTTAATAGTTTCGTTTAGAAAAACTTGTTTCAAATGCACTTATTACCGGATGCTACGTATCATTCTTCTCCACCGAGTGATCTTCTTATTTTAGTTTGATTTAATTTTAAAAGAATTCACGAAAAAAGTGTCGCGAAATGCGCACTGCTTCAGCCATGCATTACGCATCGTGACGAACTTTGAAAAATATCGTTTTCAAAGTACACACCGCATCTGCCTATCCATTCGTCGAGATGTTTCCTAGGGAAAATTAAATTGTCCACCCTCGGAAGCCCATTCTCGACTATCACGAGAAATGCATATCATTAAACTAAAGTTAATTCACTTTGGGTATTTTACATTAATTAAAATAAAGATATCATGAATTTTTTCTCGTATAAGCATTGTTAAATCTACGCGATTACAAAGGATTTCTAGTTTATCTGGGAGTTTGAAAATTTATATAGAAAATGGTATCTTTGTTGCACTTTACTTTTCGCGTACTTGCGGCTAGTCCACGAGTACATCGCCTCACATCGATATTTTTACTAATATTAATGATGTAATAGCACAACGCAGTTTTTATTATGTACATATCGATTTTTGTTAAAGTATGTGATTCAAAACTTCCTGCCTCAACAGACTGAAGTGACAAAGTTCAGTATATTCTCCAATTATACTTTCTAACCGCGAAAGGCTGGAGAGATGTTCAGGTTATACTTACGAAAGTAAACGTTCAATATTTGTAATATTTTTCTGACAATATTATATAAAAAGTTATATTTATATTTTCGACAACGGAGCGTTGCTTGTTTTTATTTTTCCCTTTTTCCTCTTATATGCAGACATAAAAATAATAGGAATATTTAATATTTCAGAAATGTATTACGTAATTTGGCATGTTCCCCAATGCATCTTTTTCCCAGTAAAAATTTAATATGTAATATATATATTATTAAATTTTTATGCAGCATGTTTTTCGAACTTTGGGTGATAATCGGTCAAGTATTTGTTATTAGTCTAATCGAGACACTTTGACCTACACGCACGAGCACCAAACTCATTAGCACGTTACATTGTTGCATTATATAAATTACTTCTCGCGAAACAACGTCCCCAACCTAAATTCCATATTAGTCTCTCGTAGACCTCGTATCTATTCCCGATGAACAACTCGCTCATTTTCAATGAATTATCATTTCTCTCTCTCGCACGCGTTAATTATATTAATTTGGCATCTAGGGAGGAGATAGAATTGAGAGGTCATCGAGAATTAATGCGAGATTAATAAATTCCGTGCCTTTTGCATTCTATTTTCCAAGATCGTTTCGGCTTTTATTTTGAGTTGTATATATTAAATTTATTTGTGGCATGAAACCTCAGTAAAATATTGTATATAACTAGGGTTGCCACAGAAAATGAATTTCAAAATTCTCTAACTTTTCCAGGTTTTCTAGATGAAAATAAGAAATTTCCATGACCAATATAAAATATGTAAAAATTTTAACATTATAAAATGTGTAAAAAATTTTAACATTTAGAATCAAGGATTGTAAATGTTAAAAGCTAGCTTATATTATTAAAAATGCAAAAGGAGCTTAGTAGCATAATAAAATTTTAGGAGCAAATTCAAGCCAACAAAAAATAAATTAGTATTGGAAAAAAGAATGCAGTTATGACGAAAAAGAGCGATCAAATGAAATTACTGAATAAAATATAAATTTTAATTAATTTTTAAAATCGTTTAAAGTTTTGAACGCATTTAACTATAAAAACGTCAAATATAATATTTAAAAAATTATAAAAATTATTTGAAATAGGAGCAGTTTAAGGGAATTGTGAGCAAAGTATAAAATTTCGGTCTTTTTTATATTTTCCCCTGATTTTTCCCGGTTTTCCAGGTCGGTAACAATCCTGATAACATACATCAGGATTAAGAAATCTTGTTACACACTTCTATGCCTTTCAATCTAAAAAAAAATTTCAGTTCTTTAAGTGCATCGCGAATATTGTTCAATTCAGTGATGGGAAATTGGCTCCGCGCAACACGGAGAGCCATCCACTTGATTGCTTTGGCGAAGCTTCGGCGAAGGCTGCGCTGAGCGAGCGAAGCAGTGATAGCACTGAAGTACTGAACAGCAGACTATCCTTTTCATCTTCGGCGCGCCAAGAGCAAATGAAACAGCGAGAAAGGCAGATCTTTCTCGCAATCTCGGCATGTATCTGTAAGGCAGAAAGGAATATTCTAGATAACGTATAAGTTTTAATAAATTTAATAATCATATATCCCTCCCATTAACGTATAATAGCAAAAATTATTTCAAAACGCGACAATTTACGAGATATTAATTGTTTACGATTTTCTATGCGAGTTATATACCGCGTTCATAAACATGGTCTTTCTATTAAATTATTTTAATTTCAGCGATGTATTTAAAGAGTGATGTACAGTTCGCGCAATTAATGCCTTCCCAGCCCATGACATCACGTCCACTGATGAGACATTACGTTTATCTTCTCGGTTGTTTTCACGTTCATGGCCGCAGTCGGACAAACAAGACTAGCCAATAGAGATTGGAGAAACTCGCGTATTGTCGATAATTCCGTCAGACTACGACCATGGACGTGAAAATAACCGAGAAAATAACGCGCAATGTCAAAACAAGGGTGAAAGGCATTCATTGCGCGAACTGTACTAAATTGATACAATATACATCAAAATGATTAATTAGTCTGCTGTTCAGTATTTCAGTGCTATCGCTGCTTCGCTTGTTTAGCGCCGAAGCTGGCTGAGCGCGGCGTCACTTGGTGGGGCAAAAATGAAGAGGCTGATTCTCCGTGTTGCGCGGAGCCAATTTCCCATCACTGGCTCAATTCAAAATTTTGTGTATATATATATATATATATATAGAGGAAATTAAGTTTTTCCATTCAATTGAATCTAAAAAAAATGAAAATGAACCGTGAATGCTACTGAAATACACATTCGGGTGGATTTAAATGGATTAAAATTTCAATCCATTTTAATCTATTCTCGTTTACCGAGTCTCCAATCATTGCCGTCAAGATATCGACGAATATCAACTTTTATGAAAATACGAAAAATAAATTCTTCGAGGCAATAATTTTTAAATAGTGAATGCACAGTAGAATTAATCATTGAAATTAAATAAATAAATGGATAGAGATAATCATGCAATTAATAATTTCTGTAATCTGTTACTAACAAATAAAAAGAACTTGAGATGTATTCATCTTTTAAAAATATATTTTGTAAGTGTTTTCGAAGAGAGATTTTTCTTCGCGTTAAACATGTTCAAAAGACGCAAAAAATATAGTTTGTCAATTGTACCCTCATCTCTTTCTCCTTTGAGATGTTGACAGTTTTAGCTAGAAAAAGAATTGCAAAACAAATCTTATAAACATAATTACTATTTATATACATAATTTTAGGTGACTTTCTTCGGTGGCGGTCTATAAACTCCAACCACAACAGCGTGATCTCTTTCATATGGTTCGAGTGTTATTTGCTCTTGTGGTTTCAAATTGTCGGCAGACAACTTTTTTACTTCCGATGCAAACACTGCTTCAGGTTGAGCGAGGGAGTCTATGCAACTTGCCTGAAATAAAATATAAATTATTTGATTATCAGATTATGTTATATAACATCTAAGCTTAAATATACTTTTCAATCATAATTTAATCACGAATCTTTTACTTTAATAGAGATGACAAAATGTCCGCCGTTCTTTAGGAAATTCTGTGCATTTAGCGAAACAATTCTTGCTTGGTCCGGTTGTGCGACATCCGAAAATATGGTGTCTACCATTCCTACAAGCATTCTGTATTTGTGAGGGTGTCTCGCGTCCTCAACTATAGGTACAATGTTGCTCCTTCTTTTAGCGACATCAATTAAATCTCTCCCTGTTCGATGGGAGAATTCCACAGCAAACACAGTTCCTTCCTACATATCAAAATATTGAAACATTTATTCATAATTTTATATCATTTAGAGACGTTCGTATATCACAATAAACTCTGTATGCACGTTTTCTTTTTAGAGTAAAATCAAATCTTGCTCATTCTAAAGAAACGTGTATGTGATTGTTTTAGCATTACTTCGACACCAAGTTTGCAATTGTAAGCTAACTTGGCTCTAATGTATGCATAAATGTGTTATTCTGAAAAAGATTTAAAATAGTGTTTACCTGGCCAACTATGTCAGCGACA